ACAATCCATATTGAATACACCCCCCTTAGTGATTTTCAAATATCAATATGGGACATGAATATGTAAGTGATTAATATTCAAGAGAGGAAAATTATGGAAATAAGTCATAGCTTGGGAATCACAAGCTTCAATATAGAAAAATCAAACTAAAAAGACTACCTAAGTTTCAAGGCAAAGGATGTATTGATGCATGTGTATGTAAAATGGGAAGGAAAATCGTGTTTTCAAACATTCTCTTACTTTGATCTCGTATGATCTCCAGATCAAATCATACCCGATCAGGTATTAGATATACCTGACCGGGTGTGTAATCAAATCAGATTTTTGTTCTTTCTTTGTCTCCCATGAAACTTCCTAAAGTCTCCAAGCTCCTTCTTTATACTCCCAAGTGATTTGCTCTTGCATTTCCATAGTGTTTGTTGCTTATATGTCTGATCTCTTGATACCTTGTAATTCCTATCTTATTTTTGAAGATAAATATTAAATCTTAATTGATCAAAAGCTAAGTACACTTATTCTAAAATTATTTGAATGATGTTTATGCACTACTAAATAGCACATACTCACTGCGTCCCAAATTGATTTGCAAAGTCATATTGATAGAGAGAGAGAGAGAGAGGAGGGATGTTTTCAAACAATTGATAATGAAGTTATTATGTAACCTTTTCAACATAAGAAAATTTGTAGGATTGATATACCCAACTTGTAGAAATGAGCCAAATACTATATATATATATATAATGAACTATAATTTGTGCTTGTGTATTATGTTTTTGTTGTTTTTATAATATCTTGAGCAAGTAGGCAATAGTTTTTAATCTTTGATACACCCCACTTTGACAAACCTCTGGCTTCATCACTGGCCCCACGTGATAGAAAAAAGTGAAAAAATAGTCAATTGTATTGCTAATCATTAAAAGCATGAAACGAAGTACAATTTTTACATTAATTATTTTTCCCCAATAAAAAAATGAACTAAATTAAAAGGCGCTTGTATAACTATTTTTCCCATGCAATCTAATAATAAAAAATAGAGAAATTATCATTGACCCCTCCAGATTTGACTTATTATGACTTACACCTCGCATTATAAAAAAATGTTCTACCCTTCTCTATCCATAAATGGTTCTAGATAACTTCTCATTTATGTTTGAGCAAAAATTATAGATGTAGTCCCATAACTTTTGATTGTGTTCGCTTTTAATGTCATAACCTTTATCAATTGCTGATGAGAGATTTAATAAATTCATCCATATTAAGAACCTTCCCACCGAAAACCGAAACCATTAAAGCACAAAGTGACCAAAACTGACTGACTCTAGGTAGTTCGGTTTATGACTTCGGATTTGAAAATTTATTGAGTTACCAAAACATGCTAAAAATGATCAAAATTGAAACATAAGACTAGTTGGAGTGGTGAGGTGTCTTAGTCCAAAATTGGTGGACTAAGTTAAAGATTAGGAGTCCAAAATGTTAAAGACGAGATTTTTGGACTCCTAATTTCATACATTGATGAGCTAAAGTGGGTAGTAAAAATGGAGAACAATTTTGTTCACCCCTCAAAAGAGGGTGAACATCACCCTCACCCCTATTGGCTGCCACATGACATGGCAATACTTTTAAATTTTGCAATTGTTATAACTTATGCATTTGTGGTTCAATGTTTTCAAAAAATATATCAATTTTTTTAATTTTTTTATGATCTTTCATATGATACCAATATTGTATATGTAAAATTAAAAAAAAAAGACTTAAAAATATATGTAAAGAAAAAAAGGTTTTTTTTTCAAGTTTTTTATATATGCAATATGGATACCGTTGGATAGATCATAAAAAGTTATTAAATCTGATATCTTTTTTTGTTAAAAATTAGATTATATATATAAAGTTATATTAATTTTAAGAAAAAGAGTAAATGTAATGTCAAGTGTCGTGTATTGGAGGGAGGGGGTGATGTTCACCCTCCATGAAGAGGGTGAACAAAATAGCACTCGTAAAAATGGGTAAGGGGATGGAGGAATGGAGGAGTTTAAATTTGAAGAGTGTATTGACAGCAAAAAAAAAAAAAAATAATAAGAAAGGGAGTGGGGCGGAAAGGCTGCATTGCGCAGAGGAAAAAGAATGATGTCATTTGTTTATGCATTAAGCCATAATTTTTCTATAACTCTTATAACTTTTTATTTTTGATCCAATTTTTTCTTAAAATATACTCCTGAATATTTTTTCTTAAAATATACTCCTGAATAGGAGTATCAAAATTCGTGAATTTTTATGATCATTCAAATGACATCAATATGTAATATATAACACTGAAAAAAATATGAAATCTTATTTGTTAGAGTTTTCTTGAGCTCAAAACAACACGAAACACAAATTTTTAATTCATAGATCTTCCAAAAATAACATAATATTCCATATTCTAATAATACTTGAACTAAGTTCATTTTTGTTAATAAAAAAATTAAACAAAATTAATGAAATTTATTTATTTTTACATCGAAATGTGTATTTTTTATTTTGTAATCATTCAGGGGGAAATTAAAAGGAAAATATGAAAATATTACTTCTAATAATTTAATTAATGTTTTACTAAATTGATATGTAAAAATAATCTTAGAGTGCATTTTATTGATGGTGCTGGAATGCAACAAATAGGAGTCAAAACACTGTTTTCGTATGAACGGAGTCCATTTTTGACAGTTTGGACTCCACACGTGGTCTTACAACCAAAATAGACTCAAATAGTACGTTTGGTTCTTGGTTTCACCATTATCAAAATTTATCATGATAAATTGAATCGACGAGCATCCCTAATTTTTAGTTTAGGCGCTATTTGTTCTCACCGGAAATTAGATCATGACATGTATAATAGTAACTTGTAAATTAGTATTTGAAACATGAACATGCTTACATGTGACTAGTGGTGGTCATGGTACGGTTCCACACCAGTTTGAGTCCCAGACCGGATGGTCCAAAAAAAAATAGGAAGACCCGAGACAGTAACCGGTATTTCTGGTTCCGGACCCCAATCGGTCCCATCCCAATCCCAAAATTTTATTTTAATTGTATATATTTTTAAACCTCCCTAATGAAACGATGAATGTAAACATTTGGCGTATAAACCCAACAGACATGCATTATGAAAAAAACTTAATAAATGATGTCCCTTAATTTAACTAACCGATCCATCAATTGTATGAACTGTGTTGCTCATGTGTTAGCTACACAAGGTGTGTTACTACGAGATCAAAATAGAAGTTTTGATGTTATTCATGATTGTATTGTAAGCCAGTTGGCAAATGATTTGCTTGATTAATGCTATAATTATTTATTTGGTTGTAAAAATATCAATTGCGTATTAAAGTTTGTTTAGATAAAAGAAAAATGATAATACGTACATAATTGTTATTCTTATAAAGGCAATACAAAACAAGATTATTTAAGAACAAATTGAAAAAGAAAGAACAATGAGTTTTATTTTTGGCTAATAGGTTGTTTGATTATAATATAAAATACTTTTTGGGATTTATTTTCTTCTTTGTACTATACTACTATACAGGCTGTGCTAACGAGGAATAACACCATTAGTGGGGTGACATACAAGGATGATTCTACAATAATGGCTTGGGAGCTCATGAATGAAGCGAGATGTACCTCAAATGTGGACGGATATATCCTCCGAGTAGGGTATTTATTATTCAAAGCTACTTCATGATATAAAGGCTTATACATTGTGGAGATTCGTATATGAGCTTATGCAAACAAAGTCTTTGCATAGGCCTCCACAAAATTAAGGACCTTTTAAAAAATACAGTGAATATATTTAAATATATTAACTATTTTATTCAGTATGTAAGTGTATTAATAAATATTGGATGAAGGAGGAAGCTTTTGAAAAACCCAATGAGTGATTAAAGTCCAAACAACTACGTAGTATCTATTAAAGTCCATATCAAATGAAAACCTTAGATGTTAGTCATGTTCCCTATTTGACTATATTTTTCATGACCTAGTATGATGGGGATTAAGTTTTATGGTGAGTAATATGTTGGTTGTTCATAGATTAAATTTTACTAATCATGTATGAATAGATGTTACGTTACTCTGTATTACGTTTTGTGCGCTTTCTTAATGTAAGACGTAATTTGTGTAATTAGCATTGGTTCGCGTAATTGGTTGAGACAATCTTGATTGTGTGTACGCATTTAATCAGTAAAAGACAAATATGCGATGTCATACACAATTACGTACTCCGTATTACAGAGACAACTAGTAACTATGCACATGCATTGATTTTCGTATTAAAGTGCATAGATAGGCACACAAACTAATGTGCCTATATATAAATATATATAGGTAAGGGGAAGAGTTCAAATAAAAAGAGGTATTCCCGTGCAAAGTGCGAAATTTGCACTTTTGCATGTTCCGCTTGCACTTTTGCTTGTTTCTGTCGCACTTTTTCATCATTGCGATTTTGGCCAAATTCGGCCAAAAAGTGCAACCGAAACGAGAAAATGTGCATGCAAAACATGAAAAAGTGCATATATTTCGCACTTTGCACGGGAAGATCACTTTTTATTTGAATCATCCCCTATAGGTAAGTGCTACGGTACTTCACAAATAAATGAGGATACTGTATCTACAGTAGATTTGATTGGTCCAAATCATTATTTCATCATTTATTAATATTTAAATTATTCAATTGCAATATTCTAACTGGTCTACGTACATAGACAAAAATAGACAAAAATAGACAAAATATGTTACCTTGAGTCCTTGAGGATACAGTAGAATTCGCTAAATAAAAAAATGTGGTGTCATTTTGGTAAATAAATTAAAGAATATATTAATGTGAAAAGTGTAACACGAAAACCTAATAGTGCATCATATCACATTGAAGAAAAAGTGAACGATTTGCATTTATTATGGAAAAAATGGTTTATATTTGATCTGTCATGTATATATATCAGTTTCTGCTACAAGTTCCCTAATCCGTTCTTCAATTGGACATGTCTCTCTAGATTAGATTGGACAATACTTCTTTTTGTGTTCCATGTAAAACGGAGTAGTCCAATATCTTAGCTAATCTTGGTTTATAGACCATTTGAATTTGCTTTAGTTTTTTCCAGAATTGGATAGCAGATATGGCTGCCTACTTGAAACATATTGATCCTAATCATCTGCTAGAAGTTGGGCTCGAAGGCTTTTATGGTCCATCAAATGCCAACAAAAATCAGGGAGTGTCTTTTTATGAAGTGGGGACTGACTTCATTACCAATAATCAAAACTCTCTCATCGATTTCGCCACTATCCATGCTTATCCAAGCACATGGTATGTATTAATATATTCCTTTTGAAACACTTTGCTGTAGGGTATAGCACAAAATCTAAATTTAAATACTTTATCTATGGTTATTTAGGGGTGTTAGAAATTGATTCTGTTTCTCCATTCTTCTTGAAAAGTAGAAACATAATTAGAATCAGTTTTTTGGAAAATGATCACCCTCAGCTTCTAAAAAACTGTTTCTAGAAGTAATTTGGAGCACCCGGAAGTACTTCTACACTTTCATCCAAACACCTCTATATTTGAATATGCTCTCTGAAAAGTAGAAGCGGATTTAAGAAGTATACTCATCTCAAGAAAATGATACACTCTTATTCACATTGATTTGAAAATTCACATTCTTTATTCTTTTTATGTTAAGATCCGGAGTTCTAATCCTAAAAGGTCAACCTGATATGAGGAGTAACTCAGATCTTAATATGATAGTATAGTGTTTTAATTTTTTGGGAGATATCCGCGGTAGGACGGGTTAAATGCATAAATGGTACCTCAACTATTGGTAATGTTGCATTTTGGTACCTTAACTCTTAAATGAATTAAAACGGTACCTGAACTATACATAAATGTTTCAAATTGAGATTTTATTCAAATTTCCGATCAAAAAATTCCACGTGGCGGTAAGAATTCTATGCGTAAAGTCTACTTTACCTTATTTCTGTGTCCATATGATCACTATAGGGTGACTCTGCACATGAAATTTTGATCGTCATGAAAGACTTCTTTGTTAAAAATTTGAATAAAATCTCAATTTGCAACATTTATGTATAGTTAAGGTACCTTTTTGATTCACTTAAGAGTTAAGGTACCAAAATGTAACATTGCCAATAGTTAAGGTATCATTTATGCATTTGACTCGCAGTAAGACTTTTAACATTTTACTTTAATTTAATTTTCACTCAATTTCAACCCCCCTGTGTTGTGGAGGTTGGAGAATGGATCAAGTGATGAAGAACAAGTGGAATTTCTGAGAAAATGGATTGAAGTCCACATCGATGACGCACAGAACACTCTGAAGAAACCTATGCTCTTAGCCGAGTTTGGGAAGAGTGACAAAGATTCCGGGTTCACCGTCGCAAAGAGGGACATTCTGATGAGAACCGCTTACGCAGCCGTATACTCATCCGCCCAGGCCGGCGGTGCGGCGGCCGGCAGCTTGTTCTGGCAAATTATGACAGAAGGTGCGGAGGATTTCGAGGATGGGTATGAGATCTTCCTCAGCCGGACCTCCTCCACGACTGATATCATATTTGAAGAGTCACAGAGGCTCGCCAAGCTTCGTGGAATGTATGCCAGGCTTGAAAACGTAAAGGAGTGGAAGAATAAGAATAAGAATAAGAATAAGAATAAGAATAAGAATAAGAATAAGAATAAGAATAAGAATAAGAATAAGAATAAGGGGGCGTCCGCTAGAGAAATCCATGGAAATGGCAACGGCAATTGATCGGAGAAGAAGAAACTCATAAACAACAAATTCTACCACTATAATTAATTAAATTAAAGAAACATAATGTCACTGTTTCTCCGTATCCGTATAATGAATTCGACTTTTATGATTTCATTGTTTTTGAAAATCAAATAACCATTTCATTCCTAATTAGATCTTAACAAGAAACATAACAACTAAAAGCCGAAACATTACAATCATAGCGTTCAATACTACACTATGGTGAGACAAAGGACAAAAATGTCATATAAAAGCACTCATGTTCGCTAACTCTGCAACAATGTAGACTCGTACCGCAATGTGTCTACTCATGCTACTCGTAACCCTCCAATTTTGTAAGGGCCCCCAATTTTTATTACCCTTATAGTATACCTAGGCCCATTAGTAAAAAATAATTAAGATATACAGCCTGATCCAATAGAGCGTAAAGCTTGTGTCTCATCAGTTTCCAATCCTCGCTGATAGCCTAGGCTTATACGAATAGTCTTGGCTCTTCATCTACGATTTTTTTGGGGAATCGAAGCAACGAAGCTATTTTTGAGGAGAATACCGAGATTGAGGATTCAGTCTACGAAAACATCGGAAAGGCTTGTGATGGATAGTCTACCCGGGGGGTGTCTTATCCGAGGGATAGAGAGGGAAATACTAGAGAGAAGTCAGAACAAAAGTAGAGAGAGAGAGAGTATTATTCCTATTGCTTTAGACTCGTAGAAGTCGTCCCTTTACAATGAGAACAAGGGCTGTTATTTATAGTAGCCATAAATGCTGGAGGTGTACACGTGTCAGCCATCCGACGGCTGAGGGTCAGCTCAATCGGGGTGGCAACGGTAGAGGAACGTGCTCCGCATTTAATGCGGTGGTTGGATGTGATGCGGCATTAAATGCGGTGGTTGCCTGTCCCAAGAGGAAGCTTCGTGGAGCTCCAGAACTAGCGGCCAGTTGCGTGTGGCCGAGGGGTGTCGTGTAGCCGAGGGCACCAAGTGGGTGCCGAGGGCTCCTGGTAGCCGAGGGCTACCTTTTGAGCCGTTTTCTCCCAGAAGTCTCGTGAGCTCAATTCTAGGTGCCTGGAGTAATTTTGAGCCCTCGACCAAGGAGACCGAGGGCAGCCCAGAGTGCGTTTTGGGCTCTTCGCCCACTTGGACCGCCATATTTGGGCCCAGTGTGCTTCTTGGGCCCGTTGGGCCTTTGTAAGATATCAAGGAGTCTGTGGACCGGGGGTTCCTGAGCCATATACTCCATCAGCTTGTAAAATAATCAATTTATTCTATTTGTTGTTAGGATTTTAATGTTAAATATCTCTTATGTTCCATTATTTCCGAACGTCTTGGCTCTATCTCCTACGATTATCTCCCTTCGATTCCCATAATTTCTAAACCTCTTTCGATTTCTTCATTCTTTTTCAATATTTCATTCTTCAGTCGGAGACTTTCGTCCTGTGTGGTTGCGAACTACGATTACAACAAGTCAAGGCGTCAAGCGGGAAAGCAACCTGATTCCAGAAACGATAGCATGGCCACAGAATTCAATAGCTCCATTAATTAACATATTGAGTAACTGAGTAGCTGATTGTTTTTGTTTTCTTCCTGTAATTGGTTATATTATTAGTTTTTAATTGTTAATTTGGATGAGTCTACATCTTAGAATGATAGGATTGTTTAAATATGTGCAGAATATGTTCAAATATTGGATGAAATTTTGATGTTCTTGCCTCTTGGTATATTACTTCAATAAGTAGAATTCAATTTTATTAGTATGAAGAGTTGTGATAAAATTGTACGAAGTATATTATGTTTTATTTTATTATTAACATTTTTTGTATAATATATTAGGGCCTCCGATTTTATTTTGAATAGGGCCCTCCATTTGTTAGGGTCGGGCCTGAATACTAATCTATATATCTATTTCGTATGTGTTATCATTAAGAAAATCTTTTTTCATCATTCAACTCCAAGAAAGCGATCAATAACTTTAAAATGCGGTAAATTAAGGTTGTGCAATCAATATTGATAATGGAATTGGTTTTTTTTTATAATGGAATTGGTAATGTATAACGTTTGTATCATAATAGTTACCATTTATTGTGAAAACATTTAGGTTTTTCAAATAAATAATGGCTAATTATGACCATTGTTCTAAAACTCGCTACGCGTTAGTCGGGCGGTTGGGGGCGCCTAGCGTCTAGGCGGCCGACTAGGCCGGTTTTTTGGCCGACTAGGCCGATTTTTGACCGACTAGGCCTCTACAGTTAGGGCCGCGCCTAGGCCGCCTAGACCGATTAATCGATCTGACTAGGCCGATTTTTACAATAGGGATTATGACTATAATAAATATAACGGACATATAATTGTTAATTTTTCGGGCTTGGCCGCCGCCAGAGTTTTTGTCCGTTCTCGTCTCTTCGACGAAATACGGTTGCCGTCGGCTACCGATTGGGCTTCGTTTTGGAGTTTGTAATACCGATTGAACTTCGGTTTAGTTTTGTTTTGTTCGTTGGTTCTCATTGAGGAAGACGACTCAGAGAGAAGGAAGAGGAATCGAGCCAGAGCCGAAAGCTTTGCTGCATGGGAAAAATAGCTGATCGATCGGTACCGCAAGATGAGCGTTGAGGAAGAAGAGGTGGAGCTGGACTGCGATGAGGCTGACACCGAGGTGGTCTCCAGGGAGGACGCTCGACCGGGCATCCCCGTGGTGGGTGCGCTGATAACGGACAGAAAGATCAATTTCTTAGCTTTCAAGGAGATAGATGGTGGCTTCACTATGGAGGCCGGGGAGGGGCGTGGAGATCAAAGAAATCGATGACAAGAGGTATATTTTTACTTTTAATCACCCAATTGATATGAAACGCGTGCTTTATAAGGGTCCGTAGCAGTTTGAGAGGAATTTGATGATTGTGAAAGAAATTAAACCTACTGATTTTCCACATAAGATCTGTCTGAATGAGGCAGAATTTTGGGTGTGAGTTCACAATGTTCGTAGCTTACTGCTTATTGAATTTAGGCACTGCAAGAAGGGTGGGTAATTTTCTGGATAGGTTCATTAGCTATGATAAGAATCAATTTGGGGAACAATGGAAGTCCTACCTGCATGTTAGGGTGTGCATTAATGTGGAAAATCCTTTGAAAAAAGGAACAACTCTGAAAAAAGAGGGTATTGGATATTGGGTGAATTTTCAATATGAGAAGTTGCCTAATTTTTGCTTTATCTGTGGCGTTATTGGTCACTCTGAAAAATTATGCCCGCTCGTGTATGAGAAAGGGCTAGTTTTGGAAAAAAGGTTTGATGCGTCGCTTAGGGCAGGAAGTGGGGTGAAGACTAGCCCAACAGGAAAAAATAAATGGCTGGTTGGAGAAGGCTCAAACTCAGGCAGGAATTCGCAGGAGTGGGAGTCTCAGGGTTCTGACGGAGGTGCGAAAGAAGAGAAGGAAGATACGGCGGTCTCAAGTAGTGGCTCTTCCAAGGAAGTGGTTCTGAAACAGAATGAAGAGTCAACAGGGGAACAAAGCGCAGACGTATCTGGGAGGAATGGGAGGCACAGCACCAGGGGGGTGGGATGGCTCTAGACAGATCAAAAAATGGAGAGGAGGCGGGCTTAGAGAGGTAAGCTTGTCATCAGCTGGGATGAGAAAGGGGGATTCAGAGTGTGTTAAAGCATTTGTACATTTTAGAATGGAACCTCGGTTCTTAACAGAGTGGTACCTCCTGATGTTCGTTGGAAGACTCGGTGATGATTTTTATTTTATTATTTTTATTTATTTCGACTGTTTAATGTTTCTAGCTTGTTTCTTTTATTTATTTGCAATTGTAAGACGATGGTTTTGAGTTTGGATGTGGGTGATGATTTAACTGCGATTACTGTCACTGGCTCAGTTCTGCCCATTAATGGATCAGCGAGTTATATTACCGAGGTGATAAACTCTGAGTCTGGTTCGCGGGACGACGGTTTTCATAAGTTTTATTGTCGTTTTACCTACTCTCCGAATGATTTGATATCAATGTAAGCCGCTTTCATCCAAAAAAAATTGTTAATTTTTCTTCAAAATGATAAATCATTGTAAGTTTTAGTGATTATTATTATAATTGTAGTCCATTTTATATGGTGAGAGAAAATTGTAATTTTGTCTATTTTAGTTCTGTAACTTTACTCGATTGCAGATTTTGTCTTATAACTAATAAATCTTTGCAATTTAAGGACTTTTTACTGGAAAGTACACTTTAGCCACACTTTCTAGCCACAATTTCAGCATGAAATTATACATTTTGGTGAAAAGTCTTTAAATTTCAAAGATTTATTAGCTATAAGACCAAATCTGCAACCCAATAATAGTACACCCAATAATAGTCACTACAAAAAAACAGCGTTGTAGTCACGGATTTTAGTCACGGATTTGGTCCGTGACTAGTTTGTCACGGACTAGTCACGGACTTTAAAAAAATAGTCACGGATTTGACCGTGACTATGTCCGTGACTACGCTTAGTCACGGTCAGATCCATGACTAAAATCCTCCGATAGCCCCGATTCCGTTTCCGGCGTGGCTTATTTTATTCCGGCAATTTAGTCAAGGCCGTATCCGTGACTAAATTCGTAACTACAAAAAAACTTTAATTTTTCAACGCTCAGAAATTGATTCGCAACGGTATTCTGTACGGATAAAATTAGTCACAGACATGTCCGTGACTAATTCCGTGACTAAATCGAATAATATTATTCCCACGCGTAATTTACATGTCATTTACACGGTTCGGACGCGTAATGTACACGGATTTGCTTAGTGACGGACAAATCCGTGACTAAATTTTTTATATATGCAGGAGCAACTCATTCAATAGAACCACACCAATTCATTCCCAGTATATAATATACAGTAGCTGTTTGAAAGATAGAAGGATGTAGTCTATCTTATGTCATTTTCCCTGTTTATGCAGATAAGGTATGTTATTTGAATTATTATTTTTATTTAGAATTAGTTTGTTCAATTTAAATTATTAAAACTATTAAATTAGTGAGGTTGTTAATTAATTAACAGTATATTTAACTATAAACATAGTGATGTCATA